TAGTGGGGATGTGCCTGCAACTAAGGTACATGCCCTTGACCGGAATCAAACCTGGGACCCTTCAGTCCACAGGCCGATGCTCTATTCACTGAGCCAAACCGGCTAGGGCTCATGGTCAATCTTGTTTCACCTATACTCCCACCCACTCCTTGGTCCCACCCCAGCAAATTTCAGACATATCATTTTATCTATAAACTAGAGGCCCGGTGCACAGATTCGTGCACTGGTGGGGTAATTCGGCCTGGCCTGTGTCCTCTCATAATCCAGGACCCCTTGGGGGATGTTGGACTACCAGTTTCAGCCCGATCCCGCAGGCCAGGCTGAGGGACCCCACTGGTGCACGAATTCATGCAACGGTCCTCTAGTATGCATATAAGATCTTTGGTTAATCTCATCCTGCCCTCTCCCCTTCCCTCTGAGATTCATTAGTCTGTTCCATATTTCCATGCCTGTGTGTTGAGTGTCTGCCCCCTGGTGGTCAGTGCACATCATAGGTACTGGTTGAACGATCGCTTAGGCTTTTATATATATAGATTTCAGTATGTTTGGCTAAAAGATAAGGACATTAAACATAACCACACAGAGACCCACGATTCCTTAATATCATCAAATGTGTAGTCAGTGTTCACATTTTCTGATCTTACATGATTTTGACAGTTTATTGGAATAGGGATCCAAATAACGTCCGTAATTGCAATTGGTTAATGTGTGTGCAAGAGGTAACCAATAGATGTTTCTGTCTTTCCCTCTTCCACTCTCTAAAAGATCAATGCAAAAATATCCTCGGGTGAGGATTAAAAAAACACACTAAACTATGAGGAAACAACAAAGAAAAGAGAGAGCAGTCTGTAGCAGAGAGGGGAGTGCGATAGCCTGCAGCAGGAAGCGGGGTGGGATGACTTGGGATGACAGAGCAGGAGCGATCTCTAGAGCTGCCAGCTTTCTCCTCCCAAACCCTAGTGCAGCCAGCTTTGCAGGAGCTCCCTTTACCTTGAGGTAATTTGTTCCTAGTCCTTGTAGCCAAAACTGAAACACGAGTCAGTATGTTTTTAATATTTGAAGGAAGCAATTCAAAATATATCAAAAGGTTACAAGGTGAACTAAGTCAAATAGAGGTTTTGGTGTTGTCACACGGTCCTCTCCACGTGTGAAAATCGTTTATATTAATCCAAGGAAGGTAGAGCACGGTCACCGGGGCCGGAGGGACGGGGTGGGTCTTGCTAGGGAGGCGATTCCAGTCTGGCTGCATCTTAGGGTCACCTGGGAAGCGTAACAATTCTTGCCTGGCATCACCCCCCCTTTGCCCCCCAAGTTTCGGGTTATAGCTTTAGACTGTCCCCAGAAGACGCCGAGGTGTAGTCAGGGTTGAAACACCCCAATCTAGAGACTCGAGGGCACAGCCGTCTGGACTCAGAAGTGAAAAGTGCATGTTTTCTTCGTGAATCTTAGTTCCAGTTGGATAAGTCCCGCCCCCCCCCGCCCCGGAAGTGAACCCCGGTCTGAGGACGTGCACGTGCTGGCGAGGGAAGGGCTTGAGGGCGTTGTCCCTGCGGTCTCTACTGTCCGGGTAGCTACCCTTTCGGAAGCAGTGCTTGCAAGCACCAATTCCACTCCCTCTTGCTTTATTCTGGTTCTTTTAATATAACAAGTTTGTAAGCTACAGGTAGAAGACAACTATTACCTTCACTTTGTTTAAAGCATGATTTAGTGCTCAGTCGTAAGAGCATTTTTTTTTCCCCCAAATGAACACAGTGAGGAGTCACGCACTTTTTTTTTTTTTTTTTAACTTTTAAACATGAGGCACAAAAAAGATTCTTTTCGCGTGCGCTGTTTTACAGCTACCGGCTGAAGGGAGAATGGCTTCCAGGGAGCAGCCTCGAGGCAGTCACGGCCCCATCACCTGGGACGGAGGAAGGGGAGGTTGCAAAACGGCCTCGTCCGAGCTCA